AATGACGCTGTCAAAGACCGAGTGACAAGGAGGAAAGCAGAGCAGAAAAAACAGTGAACCAGCAAGCAGGACGATAAAAACAATGCCACAAAACAATTTCCCAAGGAGTTGGCAGCTGGGAGGTGGGATATGTAGGATGTAGGATGTAGGATGTAGGATGTGGAGCTCATCCGCATGCTGACCAACATGTCGGTGGCGTCGACGTAATTCGAGCACTCCCCCATCGAAGGACCCCCAAGGATAACGCCCCCGCACATTGATAAAGGTGTGGAAACGTGCGATTTTGTAATTGATACTAAAAAGCCCTTAATTGGCACCTTAACGCTGCTGATGCTCTGACAAATTTCCCCCAAGGACCAGTGACGAGGGCCGTTCCTGGCGTTGACATGCGTGGGTTGCCCAAGGACACAGCCGGGGATTAAGGGGGATGGAATCGGGGATTGGGTGGTCGAGGACGTGGACGGAGGTAATCGGATGCCTTTTAGGAAATGGAGATGCCGCAATCAAAGGCGTCGAAAATCGGTGCCACATTATGCCGCATAATCATCGTCGGCATCATCAATGTCATGTGACCATGGACCATGTGGAGTATCCAATCCCGGCGAAGCCAAAACAAATGGCACTAATCCATAATTGTCCGGCGGCTGGTCAAGTGGGACTTGAGCCAATAAATCTCATCAAACTAATTCGATACGTTGGATGGCCGGGAATCGTGGGGAAGCAGCCATAGCAGGAGTATCCACCCTTGTGGTTTTCGATACTTGTTTGCCAGCCTGTTGTCATTTGTTAACATTTCATTACATTTATTCCACTGGACACAATTGCAGAGTGGATGAATGGATTTGCCGTTTGATGTCGCCTCGAGGATGAGTCCCCCCCTTCGCATCATCATCATCCACATCCTGACCAACCCACTGGCGAATTTATCTGCTTGTGCGAGTACTTATTTGCTCTCAAACCAATTTGTTTTATAATTGAATTTGAAATTGAAGATGACATTCGGTTTCCGATTGTTTGGCGTGTGGTGCAATAGCCACAGGCCACGCCCCGCCCCCCGGAACCGCCCCTCGCTGACCCGACCTGACCTCAGCTGTCTATGTGTTTAGGTCTCGGTTCGGGTAATTGTATGCAGAGATTCTCGTTCTCGGCGTGTGTGTGCTTGACCAGAAATTCAATTATGTATAAAATTTCACAACCATTTTCGGGATGACTTTCGGAAAAACTCAATTTTCTATTTAATTTGCTTTCAAGTGTCATAGCGGTTTCTGGTCTGCCCATGGTCATAGGTTATAGGTCGTAGGCCGAGGTGCCAACTAGCACACGCACACGCACACACTCGCACCGACACTCCCCGACATATGCGTGCACTTTGACCTCGAGGTGATTCGCATCTGCAAATATTGTTTGGCACGCCGAGCGGTTTTGGATTTTATTCATGCATCATTTGATTTTGCGGCTATTTCGATTGATTTATTCGCATTACCATTCGCCCTGCTCTATAAATTTTGAATATTTATTTCGGTGCGAAAGTGGCATACATTTATTTTAATCGGTTTAACAGCTCGGCGCGGGTCAAGGTGCAACAATATCAATTAACGGGAGCAAAAGTGCATTGATTTCAATCAGTTTATGGTCAACCGAGTCAGGAAAAGCGTTTCTCAGCAATAATTAAAATATGCATGGCACAATCAAATAAGTAAAAGAAACAATAACGGAATGATAAAAATCAGATAACCTTTACTACAGTCGATAGTTGTTAATTTGAAACCAGTCACATTAAGAGCATATACTTGGGCACTTTTACAGGATTTACTTTTAAAATGTTGAACTTTACTTTATAGGGAAAGGCTTGATTTTACCACCATATTTGAGGGGGAACGCCTCAAAAGTTTGGCTCAAGAGGCTGCAGTCTTCATCGATGGACAGGCCGAAAAGGACAAACTTAACTTAGAAAGGAATATTCAGATCATCAAAGAGTGGAACATGCCTTTTTTCGTTTCCATCAAAGAAATTTTCCCCAACGGCGTTTACAGAACCCTCGTGTTTTTGGCGGTGTCCGAAAACAATGAGAAATATGTGTGTCTCCACGCACGTGTGGTAAGTTGTTTTACATACAAACATATTACATACTTTTGTGCATGCACTGACATGTTGGAGCGTCCTCTGTCCGCGCCTTGTATCTCAAACCCTTTTACATATTTATTATATTCAGTCAAGGGAAGCTGTCCATATATTTACGTAATCTACAATTTCGGCGATTTTTGACCCCCCCCATGTAATCATTTCTTCATACAAAAAAATAAAATTTCCACTAGAGTAATCATTTGGTGGACCCCCCCAAAAGACGTTTCCGGGCAGACCCCAACTCGGAATGCAAGTTCTCCGGTTACTCCCTTGATAAGTTGGACGAGATGACCACTTACTGGAAGCAAGTATTCAAGGGACTTCCTAAAAACACTGATGAAGAAGATTTGAAGAAACTGTTGCTTGTTTTAAGCTATATGGCGGGGCGCCGGCGTCGCGATTAGGTAAGTTTTTAATAAGTTTGCAATATAAAAAATAAGTAAAAAAAAAATAGTAGATACTGACTTTTTTCTTTGGTCCTTTTGCACTCCTTTGTGAAATTTCATTGCCGAACATTGTATCTTTTAAATCTTTATATCTAATTTTATTTGCAGTAACTTCCAAATGAACTCGCACAATACAAGTTCCTATCTCAGCATCGGGCTCAATTCAAAATTAAAGGACCATCAAGTGCATTGAGGTACGAATCTACTGGACCCCGGATTCCATGTTCCATCCCGAGCCAGACACAAAATTAGCATACATACCATAAAGCAAATTTGATTTCTATCACGGACCACCCGAACCCCGTCCCACTGAAGGGAGGCGAGGCACTCAGCTGTGCGCCAAGCACTTAACCCGCTTTTAGCAATAAAATTAACTTTCCATAGAGGTTCGGGATGCAGGGACTCCCAGTCGCTGGCATCACGTACAAGTGGAACGTATAGGAAATTAATGGTTTAAGGCAAAAGTGTTTAACGAAATTGGCCGGGGGATTGGTGGGCTATGGAATGGGGAGTTATAAGGCGACACACATGCACACCAAATACCATGTAGCCTACTCCAGAAGGCAGTAAATCCTCCGACTATCTCCGCATTTCACTTTATTGGCGCATAAAAACCGAGTCAAACCGAAACGAATACGGAGGAGGGATAACACCAAAGGAAAGGCAGCCCAGATCAGTCTGCGTCCGTCGGCAGTCCGCCCATCCGACCATCCGACTATCCGACCATGGAAGCCGGACGGGTCTGGTGGAGTCGGTTCAATTTGAAAGGGAAGCTGTGCTTAAGAAGGCGTGTAATTGAAACATTCAAAAGACAATTTCCAAGTCTTAGCACAGACACACTTAATGGACGCAAAAGACATGGACAAAGTTAAGAAGTGAAATGCGAAAGAAAAATGCCAGGGACCAGGGACCTTGGGAGGCAGTGCATCCTTCACTTTTCGGGGTGGCTGTGGGTCAATCAGGCGTGACTGGGGGTCAAATGGATTGGCATGAAATACGTACCAACGTATTTCCCACCCAGCTGACACCCACATCCCACATCCATTCCTTCTTTTTCCCATTTCCGTAGGTAGACAATGCGTACGTTAATTAAACAAACAGCCAATAAGATTGATGGCACTTTGATTGAAAAACAATTGATGCAACTGTGCGTACACATTAGCATGATATTGGACGGAGCTTCCTGGTCATCAGAGGAGCCGCATCGGCGTGTGGCTCTTATCAGCTGGCGGGCCAAAAGTTCCCGAGGAGTTGGTCCAAAGTTCGCATAAATAAAGTCCAATATCAATAGAGACACTTGTGTATGTGTAAGCTGATTGACAGCATTACAGGGTCCGTTTCTGTGGTGTTTTAATGGATTTTTGATTTCCACTTGGCACGGGGTTTTAGGGGTTGATGTCGGTTGATGCTGCCATTTTTTGCTTCCTTGTTTATCGCTTATGTAAACAAGCCGCATCTAACAACGGGACACCACTTGACACTGACATGCTGCGTTTTTGATAGGATGCCGAGGCTAAAAATGATTCCATTGGTTCGTAGTTAGTGCACAAATAACAATTTAAGCATTTAAACACATATATATATTTCATATATTCGGTGGCGCATACATTGTTCTTACTGTAATACGTTTACATTAAATATTCCTCTATTTACAAACACACTACAGAGATTATTATTTATACGAATCCCCAGCTAAGAAGTATCCGTTTTTAATACTCGTCGAATATTCGTTGACTTTGCTGAAATCCTTTCAGTTCTAGTTAGACTAATTGGTTAGGTTTTAGCCAAAAAATGGGTTCGTCTTTTGTGTGGCGTGTAAAAAATTGGCAGCCGCCAAGTCTTTTGTTTGTCTTGTGTTCTCGTGGTTTTGTTTCTAATTTACCAACCTGATGCAAATACGTATAACGGTTACATAAGCCAAGTGCTGAAATTGTACTACTACTAAATTCTAAAACTAAGCATATTGGAGAGCAGTGCAAGCGTATTATCACAGGACAACAAGTTGGAAGTTTGTAGGGTCGCACCTTCTACTTACAAAGCTTTTATGTCATGTGAAGTAGTTTTAAAATATTAAATCGACTTGAAAAAATATCGAAAGTGCAAACTATTTTTTATCGTTAGGCATTGACGAATTAGACTGGGTTTAACAAACTTGCTTTGCGCAGGAATTCTAAACGATCGATTATAAAAATGTACTGCAAATCGTTGTCCAGTGCTATTTGGCAAAACTCATATTTGGTTAGCTCAAAGATAAAGCTTACTAGACACACAATAATGTATTAACTCACTACAGCTTGGTGCTATAACAATCACAAATACGGCGTACATATATATCTTCTACATTATAAGAACTTTAAAATGTTTCGATTTCCTATTTTTTCCCCTAATGTGACATCAATGGAAGTGCCTCGTACAACAAGTAGAACAATGTTAATTTTGTTGCTTTCTATTTTGAAAATAAATATATATCACTTGCACTAATTATTTCAAAAGTGTAGATCTTCACGTATTGCTGGCATTTGGACCCTTTTTACAGGGCTATTAGCCTGGTTTTACACTTTTCGGCCTCCCAAAGATCCAGCAAATGATCCCGGGAACTGGGACCGCGCTCCGGCGGAGTGTTTTCTCCGGAGAGAGTGGGCGAAAGAACTCCGGTCTGTAAAAAAAGGTAAGAATAAAGTTCCAGTATAGAGCAGATAGTACAAACAAACTTTACCTTCGTGGCAATCTTGCGAGGATCTAGGTTCAGGCCAATGTTCTTGGCCAGCTTCGAGAGAGGACTGGTCAACTGCTTTAGCTTGTTGGCCTCCGTCTGAGTGGGCAAGCCCAGAGGAAGGCTCATATCCCTGGGTGAAGTACTGAAATCGCGTCAGGCAAATCGTTACAGTACAAAACACGTCTTGGCTTTAGAAGTTACTTTTATTTTGAGCGATTTGATTTGGCCAGAATTAGCCGAGTGTATGTGGTATGGAGCAGGCACTGATATTTCGTATTTGTACAATAATACATGCTAGTCTTAGGTATTTATTATAAAGATAGAACACATTGAACGCATAGAGGGATCATAATAATACTTTGAGCTTTGAAGGGGGAAAACTGACCATAAACACATTTACAATGGATACTACAAATAGATTGGCTAATTAACAACATAAGACAAAAACACAAAGCTCTAACCGATAAACGGGTCTACAACCAAAGATCAATTGTAGAATACAGACCTGGACACAGGCTTCACCTCTTCCTCGCCATCGTCAAAGGCCTCCTGGGCTTGCACGCATATCAACGGATTGGGCGTGATCGGTCGGATGGGTGGTGCGTTTTCCAGGAGACCCGTGGGAAGAGTGACGTGATCCGTCACAGAGGTAATCGAAATTGTGAGCACATCCTCGGCGGTCTTGCACATGCTGTCCTTCTGCTCCAACTGACGGATTTCATCGGAGGAGCTGGGCGAGTCTTCCTTCTGGTTTCCCATGACAATGCCCACCGACGGCAGGAAGGCGTTCTCGTTGTAGTTGGACTTGTCCAGGGCTATCTCCACATCGGAATCCACCTCGGGCTCGTACAAACTGTTGTCGTGCTCGTCGGTATCGGTGCTGCTGGCGCTGTTCGAGTTTCGTTGCTTGCGGCCCAGTGTAAAGACCGCCTTCTCCGCCTCCTGGCCAGATTCGATATCGTTTCCTCCCGCCTGACGCATCACTTGCGGATTGATGGTGGCTGCCAAGCCACTGGGATGAGCTTGCTGTTGGCTGGCACTGGTCGGCTTCTTAAAGGTCTGGCCCAATTTCGAGAACTGTCCGGCCACATTGGACAGGGCCTTTGAGCTGAACTGCACCAGCTGAGATTCAGAAAGGTTGCGCGGCATGCCCCTGGGAACATCCATCGTGGGCAGTTTGCTCTTTCTTCGTTGCAGCACCCCACCCGTGACGTAGCGAACATCAGTATTGCCGGCATTATCCAAAGCAATGCGGAACATCTCGACAATGGAGGTCAGGGATTCCGTGATCTCCTCCTGCGTCTTGATCACATAGGCCATGTTGTTGAAGAACCTCAGATTGGCCGATCGGAACATGTGGAAGTAGCCTTCCTGCTCGTCCACGCTGTAGTTGAGGCGCACACAGAGATGCGCTGGAGCAGATCCCTGGAAGATTTTCGTCTGCTGATGCATGCCCAACTCGATGAGACGCACCTGCGTCAGTTGCACCTTCTCGAAGCGGACTATTTTGTCCAGATGCGAGTCGTATTCGGCCACAATGTAGCAGTCATCAGTGAGCAGCAGTATGGAATCCACCTCCGTCTCGTTGGCATCGCCGGAGCTGTAAAGCAGAAGATTGATCTTTGTAGATATCTAAATGTATTGTGCATTGCTTTAACTCACCTTGGGTCAGCGTCTATGAGTCCCCAAGCTCCAACGGGATACTGAGCCGTTCCCAGCAGCAGGCGACGACAATCTTCCACCAGCAACTTGGCGTGCTCCGCATTTTCCGTTCCATCGCTCTCATCCGGACCCGCTTGACCGCCCAAAGCACTGAGTGATTCCGAGGAGACCTGATTGCCCAGCATCAGATCTATGGTGGCCTGGCGGTACGAGTCCTTAAAGCGCGCCAAGTAATAGCTACAAGTTTTTAAAACGTATTAATCAGGGCAAAAATAACAGTTTCTAAAAATAAGCGGTTGTGAGAATGATTGGAAAGGATAAGGTTTAAATATGGGAGTAAGAGTACCTTTTGCGAAACAAGAATCAAAGGATATATAACAATTGAGGCAACTAAAAACCGTAAGTGTGTGGGCTCGTTTGCTTGGCCATCTACTCCGTCTTGGCATCGCCTCTGAGCTGCGCACCTGGTCGTAACGATGGATTCGAGAAGCTGCAGCTCGGGGCCCAGCACACCGGGATTATAGTAGCCCCGAAGCGGGGGCCGGGTCTCTGGAGTGAGGATCTGGAGAATGGTGTCCAGGACCTCGTCCTCCTGCAGCTCTTCTGCCCGCAGCAGCTGGCCCTGCATCAGATCGATGATGCACTGGCGAAACGAGTCGGCAAAGTTTTGTATGAAAAAGCTACGAAGAAGTTGGGCACGGCATTAGCTACGGGTCTGTGCATCGATCGGTATAAGATTGTGGTGTTAGAAAGATAGCCCCATTGCCCAAGTTTTGGGGTTTCAGTTCTCATTAACTTGATTTAGATATGGGGAAACAGGCATGCAGCATTAGTAAAACATATGAATTCAATCCAAAATCGATTTAGAAAAATATGAAGGCATGACACGGCTTTTGAGCTTTTAGTATTGATTGATTGGACTCCCATTTACCCGAAATGAGCAGAAGATTTGTGAATGGCCAAGACTACTACAATGGGATTCATTACGGATTAAGTGGGTTGGTAGTGAATCAATCAGGATAATGAAAATGTAAGAAAGTTAAGGGCAGCAAAACATACAAAAATAGTGGGTATACAGCAACTTTATACTAACCGATTGGCCGAGTTCATGCCGTCTTTCATCATGCCGCTGATTTTGCGTTCGCCGGTACGAGTATAATCGCCCTGTAGTAAAATAAGTTTAATTCACAATCCCATTTGCTGGATATCTACTTACCTTCAAGGCATTGGTGCCCGCATACTGTCGACTGATGATGTCCCCATTGTTCGCCCATAGCACCATAAACGGCGACTTCAGTTGCTCCGGAATGGGAGTGTAGGGCGGCGAGAGGCCTAGTTTTACTAACTGAGATTCAAGCACCGCCTTTCCAATGGCCGTTTGCACCACATTTGTTCGATCCAGGCAGTCCATGCAGTTCACCCGGAACACGGACTTCTGGTTGCATATCATTCCACGCTGATCCCGCCAGTGGAAGCCCATAGCGCCTGCCTCAGGGCCCACGGCATCAATCAGAGCCGAAACATTTTCGAAGCGCATGCCGCGGCTGCAACAGAAATTGGGATATTAGGTGATCTTACAAGTCTCAAATAAATGCGACTTACCAGTAATCGTGAAAGTCGAAAGTCACATAAATCATCAGCTCGTTGTTGAACTTGATAACGTGCTCCGCAAAGGCATCTCCAATGGTCTTCTCCTTGCCGCTCTGCTCGACCAAATTGACGATGCACACGCGCCCGTAGGTCTCCAGCTCCTTGGTGAAGTGCAGCTCGAAGGCCTGTTGGGTTTCGGCCACCCCACGATCCAAGCGAGGCGGCGGGCGGTACTTGTAGCCTGGCTGGCTCCAGTAAATCGGCACCGAACCACGCACTTGGGTAAAGGACAACTGGTGGTGGCGGAACGAGAGTATTTGCTCCGTCTCCACGTAATTGGCACAGTTTCCCTTTTCGTCCACTCCGCGCCGCTTGTATCTGTTATTATAAAGGGAAATGTTTTAGTAACTCGAAGAGAATAATTGAGCTATGATATAAATACCGTGTTCCAGCTCGATGACGAGATCTTCGCGATACCAAGGCCAAGGTAAAGCACTCATTGCCAATTACACAATTCTCCACTTGCATAAAACCCTGAATGATGGGCAGTATCCATGTTTTGTCCTGCAGAAAAATTAAGTTCTTTACCCAAACATCTTTTTTTCAGATGTTCCCCCTAACTCACATTCAAGTTGAGCAGTTCTCGTATCATGTGCATGTTCCAGAAGAATCTCTCATCCGGCTGCGACTGACTATCCTCCAATTTGGCCTCATGGCGCTGCAGATTGTTGGTTATATCGCAGTCAAAGCTGAAGTAGAAGCTGTCCGTCTCGTCGAATATCTTGTGCAGCTCCTCTGTGATGCGCCGCTCAATGTGTTTGGGCTCCCGGATGCCCACCGATGACTTGACCTGCTTGGTAGCCAAATTCGCAGCCTGCTGAGTGGTGTTTTTGATGGTGTTCCCGGCACTCTTGACGGCGCCCCACGTCTTGTTCATGCCCTCGAAAAGCTTGGTGCTCTTCGAGGAGCCGCCACCGCCACTTGATGGAGCGCTGGCATTGTTGTTGTTCGAGCTCGAAACGCTGTGAGTGGGCGTGGACTGGTTGCTCCTAATGGGGAAATATTTTATGAATAATAATACACATAGGTAGAGAGTCAAGCTTACTTTGAGTGCTTGGTGCAGTTGGGCAAATCGGTGTCCGGCTCCTCGGCACTGAGTATGCATATGGATTTGATCTTGTACACCAAGTGGGGTGGATATAGAACACCCACAGCGGTGGCCTCCTTGACCACAATCAAGTGGGGCTCATAGACGTTGGGCAGCGAGATTACACCCACAATGCCATGCGTTACTCCAATGCACTCGATGTCGTCCACAGAGCTAAGATCCCTTCCTGAAAAACAAGAATATTTGTAAATTAGAAAAATTAGTAATTAGAAAAAACAAGAATATTAGTGAATCAACCAACAAAGTATTTATTTATTTATAAGTACCCAGAATATATATATCCCAATCTCTGCTCCCTAATGACAATGTTCGTGTTCGTTAGGCTTTATTGGTATTTGATTAGCATACGCCCCCCGAATGAAACAATCTTTTGGAATAAACAAATACCATAGCAAGTTCAACTAACTAGGGACGTCGAATATTGACCGCCGACTAATGGGGGCTGCCCTTTAATGCCAAAGCCCGTAATTTCAGGTTACATATTTGCATCTGGTGCGTTGCGTGTGGAATTATTTCCCCTTGGGCACACAACTGCTCATTACTGTGCACTGAATCTGAAATTCACACCCCCACCACCCACCACTTGCAGCTAAAAACAGCAATGTGCAATTGCACTTCACATGCCACCCACGTACGTGCATCCTTGGGAATCCTTTTTGATGGGGGCAGGGAATTTAGGGTCGGTGGAACGGTTTCAAAGTTGTCAGAACCCTTTAAAGAGAGAGAACTCTTCTCCAATCTTATCTAGCAGTCGGTTTATCTGGTTTTTCTAGAGCAGATAGCACCGGAAACTGTCTGGGACTTAGAATTTAGGCCCACTACTGTTTAGTATACTGTAAAATCGATAGGAAAGTGTTGGCCCTTATAAATTATGTCAAGTTCTTTTCGGTGGGAAACCGCTTTTCATTGTGCGGACAAACGTTTTCGGCAAACAACGAAAATTGACGGGCGGAGCAGCTGCGGTGACCTTGGCAAATTTTATGGGCTGCCGATGGGTCAGGGGTCACAGATGAGTCACGGAAAACGCAAAGTGACCATCCCCAAGGACTGGGAGCTCCGAGGAGATATGATGTAGTCCGAATCCATTTGTGGACACAGGTTGCGTGTCAGCAAATTGATCCAAATATAATTGCTGCGCAATAAACAAGCAATTAACGGTTGCAGACACATAGTCCACTGGTGATTGTTCGAATTATAGGAGTTATTAATAGGAACATTATGGGGAGTATAGGGAGTACCCTGATACCAAAAAAGGCCCTTAATAAACGGTTTAAATTCCAATATTCTTATTATCATCTCTGATGATAACTTAAAAGGAAAGGGTATATTGTGAATCCGTTAATTTTAAATGGAGAAATGTTTTGATTTTACAAAATGAATACAAATTTGGAAAGAGGGAACTGAATTAGTAATTTGTTTTGATGGGGTTTCGGAAATCGCTTTCCGGGATTATTCATGATTCATTTATCTTTTAAGGCTGGCGCCCTTGAAATGTACATACAAACGGCACTTTTTCAGGAAGTCGCAATTGCTCATTCAAATTATATGATACATCACTTATCTGAATGAACTTTATAACAGAATTGACCCCCGATTATTAACCAAACAATGGACATTACGACACCCACACACAGGCAGTGTGATTCACTTGATTTGACTCTTTTGAGACCTGTAATTTACCTGCTTTTATCGAAAACTCCGACGTCCTGCGATGCCACCACAAACTCTTGTCGCGCTTCACAAAGATGTAGTGCGAGTCGGTCTGGAACACCTCCATGCTTAGTTTCTACTACTTTATTTGCGACATTACCCGAATAAATTAATACGATGCGAAAATACAAATTTTTAATGTTTACGAAAACCAGCAGTTGACCGTGCCGATAATAATGATAAATACCACCAGGCCTTCTTAAGAAATACCTACATTAGGGTGCCCGCTTTCGCAAATCAACTGTTTTAGCCATGACACGAACCGACGGGAGACTAGGTGGCAACCACACACCGAAAGAGCTACCTAACCGTCGAAAATTAGTCGTGAGTGCAGTCTCGGCTAAGTTTCAGGCAATCTGGCTTAGCAATTACACAAACCGTTAGTGGCGCCATCTTCCGGGTTATTTATAAACTACATTTCTACAACTACGCAATGTTGATTTCCGATGGCGCCACTGTTGCCTATTTAACTCTTTTTGTGGAAGTACATCGATTTCGTATAATTGTGTTTTGTATAAACAGCTCTCAAATAAAATGTTCAATTTAATCTATTTTGCCCCTTGAAAGATCAAAAAGAATAAATGCGCAAAAATAAGTTGTTCGCGAATTCCTTTTTGTACTTCCGGATTATATTTCAGGCACATAAAAAATGCGAAAAAATCCTATTGCGAATTTCGTTAGGTTTTATAAAAGAACAACAATACTAAAATTCTCCTTTTTACTTTAATCAACACTTAACTTACTTTAACTTCGGGTATTAACGTTAATATCTTAGACTATGATCAGAGGATCTTACTATTTTATACAAATTATTTAAGGCCATAGAAAATGTATGAAAAACTTTGGAAATTATAGCCAAATAAATTAATCGTCCTACGGTGGACATACCTCTTTTCCACTTCTTATAATTTTATTTTCTGATTCCAGACTTTGAAGATTTTACTGCCGTAAAGTATTAGGCGACTCTCGCAGCTAGAGTCCTTTAAAGGAAGGGAAAATGCTTTCAAGTCAGTGCCTATGATAATAACGATGTTATCGTTTATTTACGAATTCGGATCATAATCATCAATCAATGTTTTCTCGGCAGCGTCTGCGGCTGGGGGCGATTATGGCGGCCGTTAAACGGGTTGAAGAGGATGAAAAATCGATAGCAAGGTCCTTGAGGAATTTTCAAGATGTGCTGTAAGAACGATTTTTCATCGCCCTCATTCCAGACAATTTTCCGCAAAAATATGCGTTTTAATAAAGCGAAGGCCATTAAAAGAGCGCAAATCACTTTGGGCGATATGCAGATACGGATGCTATTCCTATAAATACACCAATCCAATTACTCAGGGGTTGGAGAGGCAGCGTTGCGCATTTATGACAAATGTTGTGCCACTTGATGTGAAAACAATGTAGTCACGTTTTAATGCGACTCTCGTCCTTTGAACTGCGCTCGTTCCGACGGGGATGAAGGACTCGCCGATGAGGTTACGGCTGAGAAACTGACGAGCAGCATCTCGCAGTTAATTACCGTAAGTGGCACGGCGATAGTTGCTACTTGGTAGTTGGAAGTCCTCAAGTCCTGCACCTGCCGCCACCCGGAACACACGGCTGTCTGGCACGGAACATCGGACATTGGACATCAGATCAGGCAAATCAAACGCCCTGCCATCCGGCTAAGCCGGCTCATCATTCACGCAATCCATTCATAAAAAAGATATATGACACAGTCACGCAGAAAATACGAGAGAAGTGCTGTGCCTCAAATTGAATTGCAAACGAGCTAATCGATCCTCGGGGAGGGAGGTGGAGGCCAGGACACGCGTTCGAGGTCCTGTTGCCTGGTGCTCGGGGAATATGAATTTATATCTTTTAATCTGCGACAGCGGCTTCTGCCCTTCTTCTACCCAGGGCCAGGACCAGAGTAAAAGTGAATTAAGGACGCAGGACATATTTCAACAAAGCGGCAGTCAGATCCAGCAGCCCGGCTCTGTTTATTGTCCCTGTCAAGTGGGCCTTCGGGGGTGCAAAGTGGCTGGGACAGGGGTGGAAGCGCACTGACTGACGTCCTTGTAATTGCATTAAAATGCAATTCGAATTGCCGGTCGACCGCCGATTCCGTTTCCGACTTTTCCCAGGCTCCCCTGTCAGTTGCCAGTTGAAAGTTGGCAGTTGCCAGTCCTCCGGTTCGCTGAGTGCCATCGAGTGTAGGTGTCATCGGCATCTCCTACCTGTCCCTACCTCCCACAAGCTGCGTAAACTGTATTGATAGCCTGCCTTCAACGCATTTCCCACTTCCCAGCGGCCGCAGTCCAAAGGACATTCCGAGAGACTGTTGTGCGCAGCTAGGGGACTTTATTGAACTGTCACGTCACTTTTAGCACAAATATAATCATGTTTGTAGTGTCAATAGCATTCTTGGTTTAGTTTGAATAAAAGCTATTTTCGACCATTTAAATTTAAAGTACCTTTCTAGTCTTGGAATTGATTGTAATAAGAATTGCTGTTCCACATAATTAAAATTTCAGGAGTCTTTTTCATTTTTACTAGGCTTACAATGAGATGTAAACTTTACATTATGGTTAAAATATTTTATGTTTTTGCTGTTTCGACAGTGTTAAAGAGAATCATTTACCAAGCCCGATTATTTTATTCCACTATCATTTAATTTATTATATTTATTTTATAAAATAAATAATCAGTAAATAACACAGGTCGACAAAAAAATAGCCCAGGACTAAGACCGTTTAGTCTTTGGCAAAAAAAGTCCTGATTTTGTGGACCTGTGAAATAAAAAAAAATATTAAAAAAAAAATAATAATAATAGTAAATATGGAAAAAATAATAAATAAGTATAAGTCCGTTTATACAGTCTACCTACTTAAAATATTTTAATTACAAGTAAATTATGACCTTACTTACGCTTTTCAATGCTCAATGTTCCTATACTTTTACCACCGTTAAACATTTTCCCAGGGCTTTCGCATCCCACTTATTTCATTTTATTCGACTAGCATCTGCTGCCTGCGATCACTCCTGGGGGATCAAGTGTTATCTCATGAGAAAGTCTCGGCACTTGATGGCGTGGAACAGGAGCAACAACCACACCCCGCTATTTCGTTCCCAACCCAACCCCCTTTGGCCGGTCAAACACTCAACTCAACGCCGATACAAGCGGATAACAATTATATTAAACAGCAGGCAAAACAACATCGACACAGGATTTGTAACAGGATACGCGTGTAACCACGAAACGGAGAGTCGCTGAACATACACACATCGCCAGCAACGACAAAACACCCTTTCAATTAAATATTTGGAAACAACATTTGGCAATTATACAATTGACACCAGTCGAGAGTGGAGTGGAGTGGGGTGGTGGTGGATGTAGATGTTCCTGTGCAGAACACGACTTCATCAATTTGAAATGTTGCCAAACGCGTGACTCGGAGGCACGCGCGTCATTTTCCGGGGATCTCCCGGGGCCGCAGGGATTTGAATAGACCGAAAAGCCAGTCAATTGGCCTGCTCATAAACAACATCAACAACAAGGACAAGTTGTGCGCGTTTAACATTAGTCAACGACGTGAACCTGCCACCCAACCACCCTTCCTTCCTTTCGCCTTCCGCCCACAAAACGCCCTTCGAAATGTCGTACGCTGCCTTTTTATGCCAGCTCTTTTATTGCCGCCCCATTCGTTTGTCGTTTACTTTTACGGCCCGACATTTATTTGGCCAGAGAAATCAGGCTTAGATATTTTAATATGCATTTGGGAGAAATTCGGCCGCTGCCGGGCCTTCAAATGAGGTTCTTTTCGTTTTCGTTTCAATTTGCCAGCGGAATCGCACTTGGCCCACAAATGCGTGCAAATTTGAGGAGCAGCAGCATCAGTCAGTCTGCGTCTGCCGAGGTGATTGCCCCAATCCTGTCCAGCTTTCGCTCAATTATTCATGTGGCAGCTACGAATTTTGACTGGCTCCGGACAGTCGGAAGAAAAATTAGGCAGAAATCAAAACTTCCCCAGAAGACCACTTACAGAAGGTCCGACTGAGGATGAGTCCAAACAAAAAGGTCAAATCCTGTTGTTCTGGGGCAAATAAGAAATGCAAATGCCTCGCTCGTGAAATGGACAACTGGGAACTGGAAACCCAAAACAGAAAGAAGGTATCACAGCAAATGAAATGAGAGTCGAGTTATGGAAGTGCCGAGCTTGAGCAATTTGAATGCCTGAGATGGCGACCTCTTAAACGGACACTGGAGACCCGGGGGTCAGGAAAATTTGTGGGTCAGCCTGATTGGCTTTTCCGCAATATCTCCATCTCCATCCAAACCCTCTCCACATTTCCTGCTAGCCAGTAATTAATGTTCGCCATTGATTTCCAGTTCCATTTCCGGCTGGCAATAAACGACAAGCCGGCCAATTTTCACGCCATAACTCTAATGGAATTCAACATAAATTTTCCAGACTTTTCAATATTTTATTAGCCCTTTCGGACGGAGCGTGGCCATAAAATTGAAATGTTTTCGGGCGGACTCGAGCCATGGCAGCACGTCAAAGTCAGTGGGTTTTTTTATGGCGTTTCATTGGTCGGTTATAAATTTGTGTGTTCGGCAATAAATACCAAAATAATTCTATCAGAGCCGTTCGAACGTGGAAGGTCGAGCCATCCTGTTGACACTTGTAGGTTGGGCTGCGGAGTGCCAGTGCCGTAAAAAACGAAATCGAACCACCCCAAATCCAATTCCAATTGCGAACTCAATGCTGACCACCGAGTTGAGAGCTCGGTCCTGGCATTTTACACAATTTTTATCTGCTGCTGATGTGATTTTGCACTCAATTGAAAACAAACTCGATTAAATTTTCATGTCAAATTGCATGGGAAAATCAGTTACACGACTTACCACTCCTCGGACGTGGGCTGTTTATTGAAAACTTGAAGTGCGGATGATCTGTTATTGTCATCGAATTGCTTAATCGGTTGGATCAATGTAACCTTTTAAAATTGAGGCTGTTTAATTGTTTGAATTATTTACATAGATTATATTATAAAAGAGTTTATTATAACAACTTTTAGATCGAATTTCCAGCTAGCTTGGTATATTTTCCCTAACATTTCAATCTCAACAATATTCCTAAGTTTATTTCTTGATTGTGAAATGGTGTAAATTCTTTTGAA